AGAAGTGAAGGTGAAGGAACACTGTTACTCAACCGCACAGTCACAGGCACCATTACAGACACTGTGCGTAATTTAGAGAACTGGACAGAGGTAAAATCTGCAACCTGATGAGTCATGGGCATAAGTATGGAGGAGCCAGAACTGGGGGTAAGAATAGTGCAGATGCCAGCTCACTGGATGGAAAGGTGGCACAGTTGCTCTGCTGCAGAGGTTACAGGTGAGAACATTGATGGGCCAAGTTTCAGTGGACAGACCGAATAGTCTGGTGTATGGGGAAGTTTGCCAAGAAGCCTGCATTCAATGTCAAGGTTCTTGGGTTTTCTGGCACCAACATGATGCAGCTTTGCTCGAGATCTCGGAGCTTGCCATTTCCAAAATGGAATGGATGGCCACCTCTATCGGTATAACTGTGGATCCAACAATGATGCAGCATCTGATGTTTCAGGTTTCATTGGAAGTTCAATGTCTGAATGCTGTAATAGAAGGTCAAATTGCTGTCATGCTACGTCTGCTGATTTCCCCAGAAGCTTGGACAGTCATGTGTTTGGAAACCGTTCGGCAAAGCAGCTTCTCATGCATGCAGAGCCCAAGCTATCTGTTGTTCCCACAGAGTGCTGTGATTGTGGAGACTCTGTTCCAGGAAAGTGACAGTAGCTCCAAGGACGACAAACGTGCTGTCTTCTCTGAGGATGACAGCATTGTGCTCACCGCTGCAAGTCCTCCAGTGCACTTTCTGTTGACTGCCAGACACTTGCAGCCCAGGCTGAGGTGGTGCACTGTGTACTCTGGGCCCAGAGTTACCCAAGGTGACTTTCCAGCATCTACGGCAGTTTGAAGCTGAAAAACTGCATTTGCCATGCCAGAGTCAAAGGAGAAGTATTTAGTGCGACAGGTGGATAGCCAACACATGGAAGTGTTAGGTGATGGGTGATTTTTATGCTTTTGTGTGCATTGTGGAATGCTTTAATTCATAATTTTGGATTAGATTGTGTATTTTGAATACCTGATTATTTGTATTGTGGAAACAATGTGATTGTCAATATCAAAGGAACGGTAAGGTTTGTGGGATTTATAGTGAATAGGAAAATTGGGTTTGTGTTTTCTAATGTTGCTCATTAATTTGTGAGTTGCACCATTACTCAGTGGTTAGGACTGTTGCCTTTATAGCGCCAAGGACCAAGGTTCAATTCCAGTCTGGGGCAACTGTCTGTGTGGAGTTTGTACGTTCTCTCAGTATCTGTGAGGGTTTCCTCTGGGTGCTCCGGTTTCCTCCCACAGATCAAAGATCTACAGATTGGGTGGATTGGCCATGCTATATTGCCTGCAGTGTCCAGGGATGTGCAGACCAGGTGGGTTAACCAGTGGAAATGAAGGGTTACAGGGATAGGATAGGATGCTGGGTCTGGGTGTGATTCTCGTTGGAGGGTTGGTGCAGGCTTGATGGACCGAATGGCCTCTATTTGCCCCACAGGGATTCTATCATTTTCTAATTGTTGCTTCTTTTACCACCGGAAGACAGTCCCTTCCTTTTGTGCTTTCTCTGCCTTTAGCCTCCCTGCAGATACCATGACAACCTTTGAGTACTAAAATTCTCATGTAGAGTGGTTTAGGTCACGGAAATATTGCTTGAGAATGCCAGTAACTTTTGGTGTGAGGTTTCTTTTTGAGCACTTGTGCACATGTACATGCATTTTGGGCCAGAGTTGTATTCTAATGTTCCCCATATCATGAGCCCAGTAGCTACTCTTTAGTTTGCCATGATGATTGAAGTACAGCTGATACTAAAGACCACTGCAGGATGAATAACTTGAGGCATTAATCTCATGACATGCTGCCTGTGGTCACATACAAGCTGCATATTAATGTAGGGGCATCCTTCTCTATTCAGATACATGTGACACAAACAAATGAATGTACATACGGTCAGTGACACTACATCTTCTATCCATAACAACCCTTGACTGACTCCACCCATTTAGCTTCAGGAAGAGGGAATGCGATAAAGCTGTCTTCATTTGCATAAAGTGACTCAGTAGCCTAATGCAGCCATGCCAAGGGAACTGCAAGATTTTGCTTACATCTCACCAGATTGATAAAAGCTGAGAGCTATTTTCACCTTCAAATCCAAAGGTCAAGTAAAAGCACTGCTCTCTAACTCCTCACTGCTGACATAGCCTCCTGATGACAGTCCTCCTTGTCTCCACCCCCGCTTCCCTCTTCTGGAAGCTTTATTGTTCTGTATGACCTCTGGTCAGTCTTCAATCATGCTCAAAGCCAGGAGGAAGCCTTAGTAGGCTACCATTGCTGGCAGAATTCCTTTCATCAGACTGATGAGATGTACATCATGCTGATTAACATTGTATTTAGTCGCGTGAAGTTAAGAATGGGTAGATTACAGCTCTAAAATGGCAGGTGCTGACATCAAACAAGTGTGACATTTTGGTTGACATCATGATCTGCCTACTCTACGAGCTTCAATAGAAATTAGGTTTAAGTGTGCGCATGCAAACCCTTTTATGATGTCTGGTGCACTTACTATGAACAATTTTTTTGCGCACTCAAAATTTTGTTTTCTCTGGTGAAAGCCACAGTCTTTCTGGTTCTTATGATTATGTACTATTGCACTGAGTGGCCAACAGTCTCAGATCCACAAAGAGTGCAGTGTTGCACTCAATTATCGATGAAACTTTTTAAAAAATTCATTCATGGGATCTGGGCATCATTGGCTTGTCCAGCATTTATTGCCCATCCCTAATTGCCCAGAGGGCAGTTAAGAGTCAACCGCATTGCAGTGGATCAGGAGCCACATGTAGGCCAGACCAGGTAAGGATGGCAATTTCCTTCCCTAAAGGACATTAGTGACACAGATGGGTTTTCCCAACCATCAACAATGGATTCACTGTCATCACTTGACTCTTAATTTCAGATTTTTTTAACTGAAATCTAATTCCAGCATCTGCCATGGCAGGATTCAAACCCAGGTCGCCAGAACATTACTTGGGTCTCTGAATTCGTAGTCCAGTCATAATACCACTACGCCATCACCTCCTCCTGAGTGCATGGATTCTGACAGAGCACTAAAATAACCTATATATACTGCAGAATTTTTCCTTTCATAAATCATGCACAGAAATGCAGAAATTGAACTTTCTTAATTCAATTGAAAACTATAGGTTTATGACAATATAAATAATTGATATTATTGCAATGAAATATTAATTGATGCAATAGCTGTGTTAATACATTAGCTCAATCCAATTTCAAACATGGTTATTTCTGACTTTTCTGCATGTACCCTGAGTGTGGAATCAGCTTCACTGTAAAGCAGTGCTTCAATTGTGTAGTTAGTTAAATATCTACACAGCAGCAACACCTTGATTTATGTCTTGCATTTATTGTGCCCTTAATTTCAAGAAAACTCCCAAGGTATTTTACAGATATTATCGCAAAACATGTTGTTGAACCAATAAAGAAGATATTTAAAATGGGTTTTAATGTGGCTCCAAGGAGGTAGGAGTTGAGGAGTTTAGCACAGAAATTTGGATCTTAGAACCCAGGCAACAGCTTCCAAAATTGTGGTGAGCAGCTTAATGACCAGAGGCCAGAGGAGTCAGAAGAAGAAAGAACTTGGCGGAGGGGTGGGGGGGTGGGGTTGGGCGGATGGATGTTTGGTTGGATTGTCGAGGTGGAGGAGGTTCAGCAGATAGGGAGAGCAAGTCCTGAAGAAATTTAAGCAAAACAACAAGAATCATAAACTGAAGCATGGAGGGCTAAGAAGCACTCACTGTGGATCAGGGAAGATAGGAGTAATCTGTCAGTAAACTAAAGGAAGCGTTTTTTTCTTGATGGCCAAGTTTGGAGATGAGGTATACATATCACATATATTCAACAAGGACCTCTGAAACAAAGTTCCGTCATTCCAGAGGTTTTATCGTGATTGTAAAAGGGTCAGCCAGGTGGACCTCATAGAATATGAGTTCCCTGATTGGGGCTATTAACTTGGTCCAATCAGAGAGCCTTGGCTGACAGATATAAACAGGAATGTCGGAGGTTCTGTTCACTCTGAGAGCTGGCTTTGAGGAGGCTGAACCAGTGTCAAGTTCTATGCACGTGCAATTAAAGGGTGACGGATACCCAGCTTCTGTGGAATTATTTCAGGTGTATGATTGGAATTTCTGATCTGAAGTTTACCAAGGGAGAGCAATAAAAGCTGACTAGAATAGCACAAAGGAACAAGTTCCAAGTTGACAAAACAATGATGTGGCGCTCAATATGGTAGCAGGTACAGACAAAGGTAGGTGATGGTGTGGAGAAGGAATTTAATAGCCTTGATGATGAGGTGGATGTTGGGGTGGTAGGGCATCTTAGTGAACAGACTGGCCCACTTGACTCCAACATATTTGAGTAAATTGAGAACAATCCTTCACAAAAGGGGACATGTCAAGATGGATGCTGGGAGGATGTATCGCCTTGAGGGGGTGCCTAGAATTCGGGCATGGGAGGTCACAGTTTAAACAGATATGAGAAGGATTTGTTTTTCTTTTCCCCTTCAGAGAGCCATTAGCCTCTGAAACTCTCCTTCCCCAGCAAGCCATGGAGGCTGGCTCATTTTGAATATATTCAAGGCTGAGCGAAACAGGGTTTTGATCCACACAGAAGTCAAAGGGTCTGGAGCTTAGGTAGCAAAGTGAAGTCGAGGTCACAGCAAGTTCAGTGGTGAATGGCAAAGTGGGTTCAAAGGTCGACTCACTCCCCTGTTTATTGTGGTGTTCCGAACAGCCTAATTTTGTCACAGACCTTTCTGCTAATCTAATTTCTTGTTGGTAACCTGCTATAATCGACTATTTTGCAAAAGTGCTTCACTTTCCCACGGAAATACTTCATTCTTTCAGAACAAAATGCAGTTGGATTTAATTTTGCCCCTTATGATGATTTGAGCAAACATGCGCCATTCCATCTCAATATTGGGCTGATAACAGCATGTGCTTCTTTTCCTCTAGGAAGTAGATTCATACTGCTTTACGGAAGCCAGTTGGTTGCCAACAACTGGTTGAATCCAGCTCAGGTGGTGCTCTATCACCAGCAGAACAGCAGTGGTCCCTGGATGATGGAGCTGTGTGGCCGGCGCCTCATTGACCCCTGTGAACACGAGTGCGATGTGGACACAGGTAAGACTAACCCTCATCATTGAGGTTCAACATGCTGCGATTGGGATTTGCAAGTTGTCATGACCATTGACAACAAGTGAACAGGTTTCTGTACAAATGCAATGAAAATTCTATAAAATACGCAGACCATTCTCCGCGGAACCGGGGGAAGGGTTAATAAGTGGATGCAGAAGAGAGGAACAAGTTAACCTGGTGTAAAAGTTCTCGCAAATTTTTTCCCTCATATTTAGTTGTTTGAGTTCATTCATTCATTCATTCATTCAATTAGAAATTGACCTGACCAGATTTGGCCTCAACACTGTGAACTTGCTTTGAATAGTAGAGAAGATAAGAGAGCAAAGTTAATTGAGAGACAGAGTTTCAGTACGTGGGAACAAAATGATTGTTTCTTGTTAGATATCAGTGACATGTACACTGCACCTATAAACTTGGTTATTAAGGACACATGGCCAAATCAGTGTCATATTATTTTACTCTGCCTGTTGACCTACTGATTCCAATAAATCACAGACATGCTTTTGTACGTTAGTTTTTTTTATAATTTCAGTGCATTAAAGCTCCCAGCGAAACAAACAAAGAAAGCTTAGATGTGTATTTCATTTGTTTTATCAAATTATTGTCTCAATGGAATTAACACATGACTCTATATTGCTGCATATTTAAGATCTAATCTGTTTATCAGAAATCTACCACAAACTGTTAATTCTACTGACTGAGAAATGTGAGGGAAAAAAGAAGCAAATTAAACATTTGAGATTTCCTTTGTTCCTCAAATCTTGTTACTCCAAATAAATGCCATTTTCAGCCTGGAGAGGGAAATACTCATATTAAATTGGGACCATAAGAACAACATGACATTTTTGTTTTCTATTACTATAATTGCTTTGTAACTGACTTATTGTATGTAATTGACTCTGTAGTATTTCTGAACCAGAAGTGAGAATATGCTATCAGGAATTGGCTGCAATTAAACTTTGAATCATGAGCATTTCACTTGGTGTCAACTTTGAGGCATGTTCTCATTGAGTTATGATGCACAATTAAGTTGATCATTCTGAGGTAAGGATAGTGCATATGCAACTGTGAGGCATAGTTCACTCACTGAGAACACTGATTGCAATGACTGCATAGATCTTGACATTTCACAAGCATGCAATTATCCAAACTCTTAGCTCTCTATCATTATTGAAACTATTTCTGATATAAATTAATTAATTGTGTTTCACGTGTAACATCTCATTTATTTTACATATTTAACATGAACAAGTCAATTATGCCAACAGCACAACCATCCACTGGGATGGTCAAGTAAGTTGCAGTCAACGAGCTCCAATTTTCGGAACCATTATCTTGCACCATTTATCTAATGGTTATTTACATTGTGTTCACTCAATACTGTGGATGTTGGAAATTGTCCTTTGTAATCTAAGTTATGGTAAGAACTGCCACACAACTGATTATATGATAGGCCACTCATTTAATGGTGTAATATATGACTTAACCTGAAGTATATTTGATGATAAATGGCTGACTAATTTAGCATGTAAACATCAGGCAATATTGCAGAGGTGGCTGGACAAGTTAGAAGGACTGAATAGCTGAATGCCATAATCATAGAATCCCTGCAGTGTGGAATCAGGCTGTTCAGCCCATCAAGTCCACACCGAACCTCTGAAGAGCATCCAAACCAGACCCACCCACTCCGACCCACCCCCGCATTTCCCATGGTTAATCCACCTCGCCTGCACATCCCTGGACACTATGGGCAATTTAGCAGGCCAATTCATCCTAATCTGCACATTTTTGGACTGAGGGAGGCAATGGTTGCCCTAGGGTCCCAATTGCCTCCATGTTAGGTAAAGTTGAAGAGGGTGCACCTGGAGGTGTTTGCAAAAATCATCTGGGGTAAACCACCAAAGCAGTCAGCAAGCTTCCTCAGGCTCAGCTGTAGTTGTCCAGGGCATACCCCAGCCTAGTGGTAAGAAAAGAAGGGTTAATAAGCCTTGAAATCACTGCGGGTGAACAGGGCCAATGTTGTATAGAACCAAGCAGTCTTTTCAAATGCCACCCTTGGTACTACATCAATGTGGCCACTTTCTATGTATTGAGGGTTCTGAATGGTTCTATTTCTCTTAAGGCCAATCTTGAAGAGCTCTGATTTTGGCAGCACTCACAAGTATGTCGTGTGGAGCTGTGCCCAGAATACTGATCAATCTCTGCCGTCCCCTTCCAGTTACATCACCAGAAGCTAAATGTGTGGGTTTGGAGAGTCACTCAGCGTTGTGTAGGCCCGCTGTATCTCTGCCCTCTGCTCACCGATGCTTGACGAATTTAGATATAACTGCCATATGTTCCAGCAAAACTCCCTAATAAAGTTCTGGCCCCAAAACCGAACAGGAGGTCATGGCGACAAAGTTGGCAAAATAACTCCCAAATAAAAAAGGAGCATCAAATCTAAATACTATGAATCAAACAATCGCTTTCGAGCAGGAATGCTTCTCAGCTGCAATCGGCTCCTACCTCCAAGTATCAAGTTGATCTTAAATCTAGCCAGTATTAGGTTCTCTCAGACCTGTCTGTCACGACATGACTGCTCTGCCTTCTTCAGCAAGTGTCATCAGTTTTGACTCTCTCACCATCTCCGTCAGACTCCCCCTCCTTCCTTCTCCTGTGCTCAGTTGTCACCCCATCGTCAATCCAGGTTGTGCAGGGCACAGCAAGCAATCACTACTCTGGAGACAATTTCCAGTCAGTCCTGGATTACACCTCCTTTGTCCAGAAGACCAGTTGCCAATGATGGCCTAACCAAATGCATAGGCAGCATTGTAACACTGTTCAGCATCAGACAGGAATACACACCAGGGGTCATTAGGTATGTCCTCTGGGATTAGCCCTTGTCACCCACGGACCAACCCTGCTGATGGTGCCCATTCGACAAACCTGGGAGCTGTGTAGAATATGGGCATCATTACTGCTGTCTGGATAGCAGGCATGTTACAGGAATCGTTGCATCTGGGCTGGACGTGGAGGGAGTGAAATTCCTTCCTGTTGAGGAACCTGGCTGGAGGATGTCCTGGAGCACTGAGATTCAAGCGAGCAGCAAATGGCCCCTTCTACCTGAGGCAGCTTGGCTGCAGTTGTTGCTGTCTCCGATTGGCTCTCTGAGTGCCTGGTGAACCCACAAACAGGTAGCCTTCCCTCAGGGACAGGATGGGCGAACTGCCCGAGTGCACTTATCAGTGACTGACTGGGAGGTAGGACACGGGGTTTCAGCCAGAGTGTGAAAGGTGCCGCTGGTGAGGAAGCTCAGTGCAGCTGCGATCTTCAATCCCACTGGCACAGCACTTCCTCCCAAACTGCCTGCAGGAGGGGGCACATATAGGTGACCATGTCCTTAGACATGTGAAGAAATGCCAGTGCTGCCATGTCTTCACTTTTCCCTCTTTCGGGGCTTGATGGTGCTGAATACCCACTTTCCCCTCTTAGGCACCGTCTCACAGTTCAAACCTCCTGTATCTTTGGGCCTCTGGTGCTGCTGGTACTGGACATCCCTTTGCTCCCTTCTGTTCCTCCTCTGAGGGTGCAAAAAAACCAGAATGACTGCTAGCTTGAGCTGATCAAACATTTTGCATTGAAGGATCTGTGAACAGACAGCAGGAAAGAGATCTACGACTTCCTTTTGAGAACTTGTCCTCGTCATAGAATCCCTACAGTGAGGAAGCAGGCCATTCAGTCCGCATCAACCCTCCAAAGAGTATCCAATGCAGACCCAGCACCACCTTTTCCCCATAACCCTCCATTTAGCACGGCCAATCCAACTAACCTGCACGTCTTTGTTGACTGTGGGAGGAAACTGGAGCACCCAGAGAAAACCCACACAGACAGTCGTGGAATTGAACCCAGGTCCTTGGTGCTGTGAGGCAGCGGTGCTAACCACTGAGCCACCATGCCACCCTATCTCTTGGGCCCATTTCAGCCTGCTCATATCCTGTGTAGAGACTTGCTCTGCAGCCACCTCAACATGGTGAAGTGCATCCAGGCTCACCCATGACTTCTTATCCACTTTCTCATTTAGCCACGTGCAAGGAATTTGTAGCCTTAATTACTGTAGTGCATTCCGTGTATGTGGCTTTGAGCTTACTCTGATTTTTGATGGCCAGCGTTGTCACTGTGATACAGTCCTATTACTCCAGAATCTTGAGATGTAGCCTTATGTCCTTAACTGTCAGGCACCAAGGCTAGTGAAGACCAAACGCCAGCACCTCAATATTCTACAGCATGAATAGTCTTTCAGCTCAGAATCCAATGACTTAGGTGACTTGTCTGGAATGTCAGTGACATGAACCACTGGAGCCTGTTAACCTTCCTGCTGCAGTGGGTGCGTCATTTCAGCATAAAACCTTCAATGAGTGTTCACAATGAGTTTTGTTTGACTTTTGCTTCTCACAGTTTTGGGTGTTAGAGTGTGCAGGAGCTCACAGAAATAGATCTCAGGCCCCTTCCATTTCTACACAGCATTCTCAGCAAGGGGACAGTCTATTGACCCGACTGAGGAGAGGAATGATTTATAAGAATTTTTCTTCTGACTCCTTCACTCTCAACCCACTCTGCCTTATCTACGGTCAGCCCACCCACTCCTATCACTGTTTTCTCCTTTACTCTGTGTGTCCTCTGTTCTGCTTCATTCACTCCCCTGTAAATGTGATTCCATTCATGATATCCCTTGACTTTCTTGTTCTTCCGCCTGAGCCCATACCTGTCCATTTCCCCATATCTGTCCTTAGCCTTGAACTGCCCCTTATTCAATTCATCTGCTCCTTCACCATCACCTCATCCCTCATTCCTCTCATTGTGCACCACATTTTCCATATGCCCGCTCTTCCTTGTCCCCCTTTGTCTCTACCACATGACTCTTCCATCAGCGTCCCAGTTGCCTGCCTCTGGTCAACAGGATTCCATGGCTTTCGGAACAGCCATGCCTTTTAACTCTCTCCAATGAT